AGTTAATGAATGAAATAGCAAAATGAGGTATGTGGAAGCTTGAATAAGATAACATGACAAAAAACAAGAACGTTTAGGCATAAAGCCTTCCTCAGCTAATCAGAGCAAGTGACAACAAGGTTAGGACAAATACACACAAGTAGTAGCAGTCAAGTATTAAGGACTAGAAAATATAAATGAAAGGAGTGCTTTCAAGCTTAGCAAATGAATGAAATAGCAAAATGAGGTATGTGGAAGCTTGAATAAGATAACAGGACAGAAAACAAGGACGTTTCGGCATAAAGCTTATTGTCACTAGCTCTGTTTAGCTGAGACCTTCAGTCAACATACGACAATCGTCGAACTGCTCATTGATCATGATGATGTCCTCTGCTCAACGATGAAATTGTAACTCGGAAAAAAGAAGGCCTCGACACTTGATTTAAAACTAGCAAAGGGCAAAACTTTGACAGCCTTCAGTCGTGTCTATAGCTAACGGCAGTCTACTTGTTACTAGTTCTATTCAAGCATGCAGAACCGTTCTTAGGGATTTAGGGGTCCTAAGCATGGAGCGTAGGTTGGGGGCTCCGAAAGGGGGGATGTCCGGGGTGGAGCTCCCTCAAGCTGAGGAGAAAACACCACCCACCACTGCGGCACCCCCATTCTGCCATCATCAATGTTTCCTCTTTCCCATTCCAATGGCCAAGCCCCCGATTTCCTGTCTGCCACCCCCAAAGCTCCCCCTGCTGCTTCCCTTCCCTTGCCTCCGAATTCAACTCAGAATGATAAATTTCAGGATGAGGAAGGTAACGTGAGTGACACAGACGGCTGCAGTGCCAGTTTAAAAAAAACGGGGGATCGAGGGCGCCTCACGGGGGCCCCCTCACGTTCGGGGCGCTACGCGGTAGCGTAGTTAGCGTATGCCTAAGAACGGGCCTAAGCATGGTAGTTAATGCATCTTTCTTTGACATTTCTTATTTCCATCTTAGCATCTGCACTGTTTTTCTCTTGCACTAAATATTTGTTACAGCTAGCTAAAAATTTATTCCAAAATCTATTCGGTCCATACTTTTCTTTTGTTGATTGCTTCGATAAATTCTGCTGTGAAGTGACCGTTGGTGCAAAAATAATTGCTGATATAGTTTTGGATCAGCTTTTGTCTGTAGGAAAAGACTAGAAGTCTAGGAACTTTGAGTAGCCTAACAACATTTATTCTAGCAGCCTTGCTTTATATTTGGTGTCTCATCGTGTTTGGCCTAGTTCTGCTGTCGTATAGTAGACCATCTACTCTCCCCAGTTCATGAGTATATTAAGCATTATCTCTCCATGCAGCAGCCAACGGGTAGCTGATGGGTTTTGTTTTTCAACAGGAAGGCTAGCAGTTCTTGATTGCAATAACTCGGTAGCAGTGTTCATGACTTAAACAACTCTTTATGGACTTCCCGCCTTACCTCACTGTGACGAAACCGATTGGGTATTTCAGTGAGTAAGAAATTATTATTCGATGGCAAAATGCAGACTGCGTGCTAAATGCATAGGGTCAGTAAACGACCGATACATATGAGTTGCCTAATTGCACAGTGCCAGGAAACGACAGATGCATTTGAGTTGCCTGAATGCACAGTGCAGTGAATGATAGATACATATGAGTTGTCTGAATGCACAGTGCCAGTGAATGACAGATACTTTTGAGTTGCCTGAATGCACAGTGCCAGTAAACGACAGATACATATGGGTTGTCTGAATGCACAGTGCTAGTGAATTACAGATACATTTGAGTAGCATGCATTTAGCCGGGACCACACAGTTTTTTGGCACCCAAAAATATTTTTTTCGCCATCCGATGCAAAACAACATCTTTTAAGACTTTAGCCACATTTTTAAAAACAACTCCTCAACGAAATAGAACGTATTTTCCCTTGCAGCTTCTGTCAATGGAATCGATCCAAATAATCCAGTTATGCTTTCGGATTTTTTTATATTACTGAAAAATCACATTAATGTGCGCAAATGTTTTTCTTGTTGAAATATAAGTAGATTTATAATTTATTAGGGCATATTTTCAAAAAATCCTTTATTATTAACCTCGCTTTTGTTCGTTCTGTTTCTGGATGGATGGCAAAATCTTCGGACGGCTAATTGACCCACTTCCCGACAACTTATCGAGCTGAAACTTGGCACATAGGCTCATTGCCGATGACAACACATAGAAATAATATTGTCACTGATTTCACAAATAAATTTCCCGATAAATGCGCTAATTGAGATTCTTTTTAAAAAAATATCGCAACTGCTTTTGATGCGTAATAAGGTAGAAACTTCAAGAAAGTTAACAAAGATATATAAAAATAACTCGTACAAATGACTCTAAAACATCTAAAAACAAAATGTCCTAACTCTAGAAGTTTTCCTTCAAGTTAAATTAAGTGCCCCTTTGGGGTGGGGGTGGCGGTGACCCGTTCTAATTACTAATTATATTAAGATAGGGACCCCTAAATAATTCATAAGGTAAATAGTCAAGTTAAAATTTAAAAGGTGTCCATACACATTTTTTGAAAATGAAAAAAAGATATAGTGTATACCAGGAATGAAATTAGAATCTCTGACCCCAACAATGGTGAATATTTTGAGTTCAAAACAATAAAGTTTGTAAAAATATTTATATTTTTTAAGTGCCTTTCTACCAAGTTTGGTCTAGATTTATCCATTAATTACAATTTTATTTATATAGCTCTTATAGAAAATGAAACATGGACACCAAACCTTGAACGGGATATTATTTTTTTTTTAAATTCAGAACGTGTCAACATTTTCCTCTGGATAATGAAGTGAAACAACTCTGTGTATCCCATGTTCAATTAAGATCCATTGATCCATGTAGAATTGTATGTGGTGTATGTATTTAGTAGATAAGTATTATACCAGAAAGATACATGGATGAACATTTTATAGTATGGGATTTTATAGTTCTTTATTTGTTCAGTCTCTTGCGCCGGTTTTAACTTAAAACGTCACTCTCGTATCATTTACAGATGCCATGAATATCTACAGCAAGTTATTGCCATTCAAGAAGAAGCTTAAATTGAAAGTAATAAACAGTTTTATTAAATCTACTATGAACTAACATTGAGACATCGCTACCCTCATAAAGTGCACTCGCCCATTCAGTGATGTATTTTTTTAATTAAATGCTGATTTAGGGGCTAAATAACAAACTTGAGATTCTCCCTTCCCCACTCACATCTACTATATGATGTTGGTGCGGTAATACAAATTAATAAGAGAACCCATATGACTGTAAGGCCCTATTTACGCAAAAGCACCATTAAAACACGCCCCTGAACTATGTGATAATTATAATATAATATTTAACACCATTTATACCAGGCAATAAATTTAGTTTCTTAAAATTGTGTTTTACTAATGTTACGTACCATTATAAGGTATAAAAAATTTGTTATGTAGTTTAAAATGTTGGCTCGTTAGTTGAACAATGCGTAACGTGGTGTATAAACACCAGGTCAACACCAGACACTATAACCTTCCCTCTTTAAAAAAAAATAATTTTTAAAAAAATAATTAAATTTTTCAAAATGTAATTCTGATCTATGTAATCCGTAACTACCTCAGGATGATATCCGTGCACCTTTTAAAGTTTTAAATGGAAGGCGCGAACCGTATGGCCAAAACTAAGTCAAAGGGACAGAATCCAGGTGATTCTTGAAATGCTCCTCTGGTGGCGAACACTAGCAGGTTGATTTCTTCATCTCGGTCTTTCTCTTGTTCTTGACAATACGTTCTCATAACGGACTTTCACGTCTGATAAAATTGCGACTCATGATGATATGCAAACGACAAGCGGTGCTCTATTGCTAGATGGTTCATCACCTGCTTGAAAAGCCCAGCCTTAAAATTGGCTCCTTAGTCAGACTGTACAGACTTCTGAAGAACAACAAATCTTAAAAACGTCGCCAAGGCTTTGACGATGTTCGTAGATTTTTCTATTATTGAAAGGAATAGCTTGTGGGAAAACTTGTTGACGCACATACGACTTTTCTGAAAGTATTGGTGACTTGATTTCGTCTTTGGCAGAGGTCAAACTCAGTCTATAATCACATGACTGAAATGTTCTTCAAACGCTGGCATTGACAAAAATGCACTAAAAATTAGAAAATAATTTAAAATTTCTTAAAATGCATTACGCAAAGAAAGAGTGCAGATGAGCACACTATTGAGCCAAATGAAGGATGTACAGAAGTGTAGATGAGCACTGTATTGAGCCAAAGGCAGGCTGTACAGAAGTATAGATGAGCACTCTATTGAGCCAAAGGACGGCTGTACAGAAGTGTAGATGAGGACTCTATTGAGCCACAGGAAGGCTGTACAGAAGTGTAGTTGAGCACTCTATTGAGCCAAAGGAAGGCTGTACAGAAGTGTAGATGAGGACTCTATTGAGCCAAAGGAAGGCTGTACAGACGTGTAGATTGAGCCAAAGGAATGCTGTACAGAAGTGTAGATGAGCACTCTATTGAGCCAAAGAATTCAAATTAAATGCAGATGAAACTTTATATATTCTTTTTACATTTTTTATGAAGATATTGTCTGAACATACTTTCTGTGCATTATGCAATTTAAGAAATTTTAAATTATTTTCTACTTTTTGGTGAGTTTTAACCCGTCTTTGATAAAAAGTCTTCCCCCCTCCTCCTCCCCCCCCCCCCCCAACCCTCCTTGTTGTTGAAATTTTAAAAATATTTTCTAAAATTTTTCTAATTTTTTGTATAAAAGTTGTACTCTTTAAATCATCGACAAAGGTAGAATTATTTACTTTTTAAAAAATCGAATGCTTACAATGATTTAACGCTTTACCTAGGCATATAACGAACAAGGTCATCTGAGCTCTCCCCTCCCCCCTCCCCCCTCCCCAATCCGTTCCCACAGCGAAGCAGACGCGGCCAACCATGATAATTTGAGAGACAGTGTCAACCCGCCTCCGAAGAGTCATTTTTTTGTCTCGGCAGGGTCGTTTACCAGTTGGACACTGCAAGAGAAAGTTTTGAAATGTCACGTGTGTAAACAAACCAATCATGTTCCACGCAGAATATTACGCTCCACAAGGTGGAAAGTGCAAAGTGGAAATGCGAAAAGAGAGAACGTCTTTTAAAAAAAAAAAAGGTTTGTAAAGTCCAAAAAAAAATCACCCATGACATGCACCATAATGGGATGTTTTTAGATAAAAGAAATAAACTACCAGAATGGGCAACGTTGATTTTAAGTTAAACACGTGGTCAGCTTTATGATACAAATTGAATGGGAATGGTACTATTTAAATTATAATACTAGGGTTTCTCTCCACGCAATATTAATTAAACAAAAAACTTCCCGGTAAATTTTCCCATCCCGGGTCCCAGAGGCGTAACTGGGGAGGGGGGAGGGGGCAGATGTCCCTGGGCGACAAACTAGTTGCAGGCGCCAAAATGTGCTTCGATGTTATTTTATTGATGGAAATAATGGGTTTGAGAGTTGAAAAAAAGAAAGGGAGGCGCTTTAAAATGAATCTTGTCCACGGGTGCCAAACACTCTAGCTACTACGCCTCTGCCGGGTCCCCACAATTAGAATACAATTTTTTTGCTTAATTTTTTATTTAAGCAAGTCACATATTGTCGCTAATGCCATGAACTGTAAAATATAGTTAACTACACTGAATTACTAAGCGCAGTAGTTATAGTAAACAGGTTCTCAAGCGCTTTCAAGTCAGGACCATGTAGAAGAATAGTGACCCTTACCATATTGGAAAAAAAGGCTTTTTAAATAGGATCGATTTTTGGAAAGGAAAACGTAAAAATAAAACTTAAATTTCAAATATAAAGTTACTGACGACATATATTTAATGCCATGATTTACATTATCACTCAAACTGTGAGAACCAAAGCAAAAAAAAAGAAAACTATTTAAAAATCACTACTTCCATAAAAGACGTCCACCAATTTTTTTGCTATTTTTTTACACCCCCCCCCCTTCCCCCTCTGTCCACTTTTGACTTGACCCACCGCCCAGTTGTGGACGTCAAAAACATAAAATTTACCGAACTTAAATTAATGAATATTTTGGGAAAATGTACAACAATATAAAGGGTATGTATTTACAAAGATTTTTTTTTAGAAATTCCAATTATTTGCAGGCAAAATTCTAAATGAAATAATAACTGTTCAAAAACATTTTATTGAATCACTGTATTAAAAAATGTAATAAACAAATAATCCACCATTCTTCAATCAACGGAAAATTCGGACTGCAGCCATTCAAACATGTTTCGTATAATGACAACATCTGTTCTTGAGTCTTCAATTGCTAATTCAATTTGAGTGGCAGCCTTTTCGTCTGCCATATTATGTTCACTAGCAGGAATATTGCAATGGACGACCTTATGTTTTATCATTGCCGCCTGTGATGGGAAATATTTACCGCAGAAACATATTCTCTTGGAAATTCTCCCAGCCACCGATGGAGAATAGAGATCAAAAGCCATGCTACGGTAACTGTGATCGGGCAGTAAATTTACAGTAAATTTATGCAAAACTGCTGCACTAAAAAAAAAACACTACACTGTGGACATCCACTTTGTCCTAAACCCCCTCCCCCCTTTGTCCACTTTAGTCCACTTTTTTGCTGAACCCCCCTCCCCCCTTTTATGGGTGACCCCTTAGTCAATTGTTTCAGCCGGCGACCCCACAGAAATCCTTTCCCAACCTCATTTGAGGTCACCTACCATGGTTTCAGAACCTTTGCTCTAGTAATTTGATTATCCCAATACTTCATGTCGTATATATTAAATACCTTAGAAGACCCTATATCATGTGGCGTTGTTTTGTCTTCCAAAATCAACATAGCTAGACATATACACATAAAGATACATTTGTTATCATTCCTGATTGTTTCTTTTTATTATTTTTTTCATAAATTGTTATGTTTTTGTGTTGTTATTTGTTCACTACAGGTGGTTATAACCGACTTTTGCTTCACAAGCATATTATTAACTAGTTACCGTATCTAGGGACAAGCCGTGGACAATTAATTAACTAGTAGAAAGTGATTCAACCTCTCAACTAACCTTAACGTTATTTTTTTTAATTCATTATTAGAAAAATAGCAATTAAACACCTATACAAATCAACTCTGTTATAGTTTAATTCAGTTTAAAATATATTTGAAATAGTGAAAAATTATAACGCGATTTCCCGGGTCGAGGAAACTATATTTCCGTTTTCCCGGTATAGACAAAAACCCGGGAAATGAGAAACGATCGATGGGACAGGACTGTCCGTTTATACTCGCGTCAACTTTTTTTATTTAACGGGAAAAAAATAATTCAATAAAAATCAGAAGTAGTTATGACTTAATCACTCGACATCAATTTCGCTTACTGACTTACAATGTCGAGTACCTAAGTACCGGTAGTCATTTCTTGATGTCCGTGAATCGTTTTCTCCCTTTCTTTCGCCAATGTTCAATCAGAGGGCAGTCCGATTGTTATTTTTTTTAATGTAAATGTTTATCAAGTAGTTTAAGACGATTAATTTTCAGTTTTCAGGTTGTTATGGGACATTCTTGTGACGGCTGATTAACAAATAATAGTTCTATTTAAGTTTAAAAGGTCCCTGTAACTCCCCAAAATGAACGTTGCGACAATAAATACTCACTTTGACATCCCCAATCTAAAGTTGCGACCTACAAGCGAGTGTGTATGATGCGTTGTGATTGCTTTGTTTAAATTCCATATCGCTGGGTGCCACACTGAGCGAGCCACCTTGTTGTATTTGAATTTGCCAATGTCTTTTAAGTGTTCGCCTTTTTAAATATTAAGCTCGCATTTTAAGTGATGTATAGGGTACTTTATTGAGGGATGGTAACGATGATCAGCAGTCGTCTCCGTTGGGGTTGCTAATCAATCTTTGGTCCTCACATGGTGCCCAGTTCTCACTTGCGGCTCCAAGAAGCTGTAGCATGCACAGCGGCCACACCACAGACAACGGTTTCGACTAGCAAGCAAAACAACCAGGTACGTGGTAACCCAACTACTTCAAGTATTCGGCAATCAAGAGCTTGTCGTCGTAGTCCCCCCCACGCAGCATGTGAAGACTGTATCAGGAGGATTGCACGGAAGAACCGCTAACTGGTCAACAGGACGAAAAACGGAGACAGCAACGAGATGTGAATCGCTCAAAGCATGCCAAGACACATAGAACACCATGCTCATTCATTGCCACTGCACACAGTGCCGTCCCCAGCCGTCACGACCTTTTCTTGCTGCTGGACCCAGATGGCATTGGACGAGAGAGCGAGTTTGACGATTCGCGCAACTTTTCCTTACTTAAATTTCAAGTCATAGTGCAAGTCATTCTTAACATCCACCCATGCTAGGTTTTTTTCTTCACCATCCACAAAGTCCAGTGTTGATGCGGGTAATCGGCGAAGCTGCAGGTGTCGGTACACTGGAGGCCGTGGTCGCAAACCTGCAACTAGGCGGCTTGGGCCACAGGGTCACTCATCACTGTAAAGGAGCAGGTGTCCGGCAGCCCCCCTGCAGACTGTTGGACAGATCATCGTCTTATCATCACCAAAATTAATATTCACTTACAACCAAAAAAAAAAAAAAAAACTACCATAGGGAAAGAAGATTCCCAAAACGTCTGAATGTGACAAGGTTGAAGAGACAACTGTAAAGGAGCAGGTGTCCGGCAGCCCCCCTGCAGACTGTTGGACAGATCAACGTCTTATCATCACCAAAATTAATATTCCCTTACAACCAAAAAAAAAAAAAAAACTACCATAGGGAAAGAAGATTCCCAAAACGTCTGAATGTGACAAGGTTGAAGAGACAGAATATCAAAACAATTGTGTGGATACTCTGGATGAACGTTTGAAATCCACATCTATAGTAATCACTTCTCACAATTTCGTAGTGGATTGGGCATCACTCAAAGCAATGTTGTTCAACACGTGTATGGAGTTTCTGGGGCCAACCTCTAATAAACATCAAGACAGGTTCGATGAAAAATCAAACAGCTGCTGAAGGAAAATTCCCGTCTTCACAACTCCTATCTTAACAACCCAAATTCAATTGCCAGGAAGGACGCATACAACATAAGAAGAAAAGTGAAGCAGATACTACTTCAAGTGTAGGATACATTTTTGAGTGACAGAGCTGACACGATCATAGGCTATGCTGACAGACACGACACGAAAAATTTCTACTCCGCTCTCAAATAAGTCTACGGCCCCACCTCATCAAGATCATCTCCAATTTTGTGTGGTGATAAGAAAACTCTGATTACTGAGAAATAAAAAAAAATATCGAACGCTTGCCAGAGCCCTTTGAGAGAATCTTAAATCACCCTTTATCTGTAAACGACGAAGCCATAAATCGACCCCCGCAGGTCCCCATCAACCAAGAAATGGAAGACCCTCCCACTCTGAATGAGACGCAACAAGCTATATACCAGGTGGTGACTCCATCCCAGATGAAATTTAAAAGGAATGTGGCACAGCTTTGATTGAAAGGCTTTATCAGCTGCTTCTTTTTATGTGACAGCAAGAGAAGATACCACATGATTTTAAGGACGCATCTATTGTCAACTTGTACCGTCAATCGTGTGACAACTACCGTGATATATCTGTGCTCACTATTGCAGGCAAGATACAGCTACAATCCCCCTAAACCTTATCAATTCGCATATTGGGGAGGGTGTACTGCTAGAAAGTCAAATCGATTTTCGCAAAGAGCGTGGAACTATCGACATGGTGAACTCTTCTCCACATATTTGGACCTAACCAAGTTTTGACACAGTCGCCGAGAAGGTCTCTGGAAGATCATTGACAAATATGGATGCTCCAAAAATTATTCTGAATGGTGCAGCATTTCCATTAGTGTATGCAGGTTACGGTCCCTGAAAATGGAGAGATGTCTTAACCATTTCCGGTGTCAACAAAGTTTGTGTCCTTTTCAGCATTATGTTTTCTGCCTTGCTGTCTGATGCTTTCAGCGTGGGACACATTGGAATCGGCATCAGATACAGAGCGGTGGTAAAGTTTTAACCTCAGGAGACTAAACGCTAAATCTAAAATCCGGACAGACATCATCGGGGACCTTCTGTATGTCGATGACTGTGCCCTTGATATGATAGGCTGATATGCAACGCAGTGTTGCAAACTTCTCGAATTCTTACCATTAACACAAGAAGACTGACGTCCTGTACCAACCAGCTCAACGAAAACCTTACATCGAGCCCAACATCCAAGTCAATGAGCCTTCAAAAAAGCCTAAACATCAAATGGCAGGACACGATCACAGACACTGAGGTACTGGCACAAGCAGGTCTCACCAGCATTCACACCTTATTATTGCAGCCCAAGATTGGCTGGGCGGGCTATATTGCGAGGAAAAAAAAAATATTGTGAACTCAAACAGGACAGGCGGTTTGGAGGACAGAAGAAGTGCTTTAAAGACAAACTGAAAGCATCTTTGAAAGCATTTTACATTGACCCGGACATGTGGGAACAGTCCTCGGAGGATCGAGACTCGTGGCGCTTTTCCACACACAAGGGTTCATTGCAACACGAGGCTGACAGAACAGCTTCTGCATAAAACAAGTGACAAGCCAGAAAAGCCCGAGCGAACTTTGTTCCTGGAGTTCTTTAACCATTGGCTCAAGCACTTATTAAGAGCTCACGCTCGACGACCCACCGACGCCATTTCCAATGTGACGTTCCTGGAATTACCCTATCCATCTCCTGCACCCGAACTTTTCATGTCAGCATTGGCCTAATCAGATATCTACGAACCCACAGACAGACTCAGCCCCAGCAACAGGGCGGTGTTTAGAATGGTCACGGTCGACCCTCGGCAGACGAACTATCAAACTTCAAACACAAGAAATTACACCTATCTAAGGCTCAGTTCACACGATCAAATTTTCGATTTTTGCATGAAGCCTTGTCACAAATTTCAAATTACAATTTGATAAAATTCCCATTTTTTGTCCAAAAAAAAAAAAAAAAGAAACCACGCACAAAATAGTATGTTCAAACAAAAATTTGATGTGAATTTGAAGCTAATTTGATCGCGTGAACTGATGTTAGTCTAAATCATATTTAAAGCCTTGTCAAAAATTTAAAATTAAAATTTGATAAAATTCCCATTTTTTGACCAAAAAAAAAAAAAAAAGAAACCACGCACAAAATAGTATGTTCAAACAAAAATTTGATGTGAATTTGAAGCTAATTTGATCGCGTGAACTGATGTTAGTCTAAATCATATTTCTGAAAAAAAATTTTTTTTTTAATTTTCATATTTAAAAAAAAATTAATTAAGAAAAGGCTAAAAGGAAATTTTCTGACCAAGCGACTTGAAAAACAGTTAAAGATGAGGAATCTGGCATTTAAAATAGGCTGCGACTATTCGTACAAACATAATATATAATAATCCATTCAATTATCTTTCATTTAATACCTCATTTTGTCTTACAAACCCAACAATAAAATTTTACATAGTTTTTTTAATCCCAACCTTTCACTTCTAGCACCCTGGTACAAACGAATAGCCACTTCGTTTAAGATACCAAACTATCACCAACATTAACTTTACAAGCAGAAATCCTAGTTTTTTATTTTACTAATTTAGATACTCTCTATATAGCTTGCACGTACTCTTTTATATATTTGAAATAGGCCTATTAAGAAAATTTTGATTATATTATCAAACTATAAACAAATTTAAAAAAAAAATAATACGAGATTTTGTTTGGAACATTTTCTTTCAGCAATCAAATCGTTTTAGTAATTAATATGTACCGGAAGTTTAATCAAGAGTATGCGCATGCCAACACAAGCATTGTCCTCTGTCGTCCCTGTACCTGCCATCTTAGTCAGGATATTATTTTTCTGTGTATGAAATCATGCTAACAGCACGATTTGCCTCCTCCTTGGTGAGGCAACTCCCAAGGGCCTTGCCCAAAGTAAGTCTGAATTCTTCTCTTTTTTTTTCTACATTTTTTAAACTGTATTAGTAATTGTTTTCAACCGGCCCTTTTCACCTCGAGTTCTTGTTACCGCTTACAGGCTTACACTTTGTGAGTGTAGTACTTTTTACATAATTATTCACCAGCATCTTCAAGTTTTTGATGTTGTTGTAAGGTGCATGGAGGTTTCAGCTTTTCACTTATCTGCAATTTTAATCTTGCCCTTAATAGTGTCCAAGAGGATTTACAGGAACATATAATACCCCAGGCCCCATATATTCTTCTCAACCATACCAAGTATAAAGTTGCTTTCCTTATAAAATTTTAAAATCCACAAACTCACTGGGCTATTCCCGTTTATATGTAAGAAATGAATGGGATCGTTTGTTTAAAAAATTAATTTAAATATTAATAGTCTTAAGTATTTTTAATCTTTCTCATGTAGTGGCCTGTTCGATGTCTTTGCAATGACCTTCTGTCCCTACTTCTACTCAAACTCAAGACCCTTGCCCTAGCTTTTCCCAAGCCTACTGTTGTAGCCATTTATTAAAACCTCTTGGCTTGGTACCAACCAAATTAAGAGTTTTAAATTCAATTATCTTATACTTTTGACCATGACACTTTATGCAATTAAATTTAATTGACTTATGTTTCCACATGTTCATATTGTTTTCTATTTATTTTCATTTAGGTCTGCCAAAATGCTTTAGCAGCAGGATGTGTCTCTGCAAGGCATCTTTCACTTACCAGCCCTTCATTTGCAGGAGGTATAAAACGTTTTTAGGCTGCCTTAAAAATCATATTGATGGGTAGGGCGAGACTCATCCTAAGCTTATTAAGCCAAGGACCATGGATAAAGAGCAGGGTGACTCTAACATAATTTGTTATGCTTAGAGTGCAATGGTCTCTTCCACACACATGCTTAGGCCTTTAGATTTAGTTTGAGATGAATGCAGCCTTAGCTGTTTCTGCAACAAAACTTATCAAAAATAAAATTGAACAAAGATCGATCATCTTAAATAGTTTTTGAGCTAAAATTTAAGAAATGAGACAGCGAAAATAGTTGGGTTTTTTTTACGGACTGTATATTATGAATGTACTGGTAGTATTTACTAAACCACCTCATTGAGTGACCCTATTCTGTTGATTTCGTTTTTACCTAAATCAATGATGCTGTTTCTTTATTACTGCAAAAAATTTAACAATTGCATCTACAAAACTAGTTAATTTGTACTTTCATTTAAAAAGATGTTAACTTTATTTGGCGAAAGAATGAGATAATCACAATAATTAACAAAAGTATTCAGGGAAAGGTGCAGATGTGTAGTGACTAGTCCTAATAAAACAGTTATATTTGATAAAAATATCCACCAATGAACATTTGTTATTCACTCAGAATTAATTCTCTTTGATTTTTTGCTCCCTTTCTGTTTTACATATTAGTGCAGAGTGCAAAATGTGCAGGAGGGGCACAGCTGCCAATAAAGAAAACTTGTGAAAAGTGCAAAATTGAGCTTAAGGACTTTATTGTTAATGTCTTTCAGATCTTTAATACGCAAAAGACCCAGCCTGCGATCTGCCTCTTGACATGCATTTTTTTAAAATATTGCCCTACACTATTGAAGAAATTAAATTTATTTGATAGACTGTTATAATCTGTTGTCCACACATGTTGTCTACTAAAGGGGAAGCAGGAAGTGTCAATTGTATTGCACATGAGAATCACCAAAATAACTGAGTACCCAGAAGTCTCAAATTAATTCCAGAGCAAAATATAATAATCATAAAAGTTAATTTTCACTTTCTAAAAACTTTTTAATAAAAACAAAAAAACTTTGTCCTTCACAAATAGGCCCTAGTGGTGCTGAAGTGTCCTCTATATTGGAAGAGCGCATACTTGGTCAGAAATCTGAAGTAAATTTAGAAGAAACTGGTCGTGTCCTATCCATTGGTGATGGTATTGCACGTGTCTATGGCCTTAAAAATATTCAAGCTGAGGAGATGGTGGAGTTTTCAAGTGGTCTAAAGGTGATAAGACCTATTTGTCACTGTTAAATTTTTAAATCTTAACATTTTACAATATTCTTTTTAAAAGTTTTAAGTGTGTAGCAAGTTTTTTTTTTAGACTGTTTTAATTAAACACTTAATAATATATAACATTGCATACATTAAAGGGCATGGCCTTGAATTTGGAACCTGATAATGTTGGTGTTGTCGTGTTTGGTAATGACAAACTCATCAAGGAGGGAGATGTTGTCAAAAGGACAGGTGCCATTGTGGATGTTCCTGTTGGTCTTGAATTGCTTGGAAGAGTTGTTGATGCTCTGGGTAACCCCATTGATGCTAAGGTAATAAATTTATCCAACCATAACTGACTACCCAGTATTTAAAAATATTATATCTATTTACCTAAAGAAATATTGAAATGCATTTGAAAACTTTTTAAAAAAACTTAATTTTTGCAAAATATAAATGTATTATGATGGAATTATATCTTGCAGGGACCTTTGGGTTCCAAACTAAGAGCTCGTGTTGGAGTTAAAGCTCCTGGCATTATTCCACGTACATCTGTAAGAGAACCTATGCAGACTGGTATCAAAGCAGTAGACAGTCTTGTACCCATTGGCAGAGGACAGAGAGAACTTATCATTGGTGATAGGCAAACTGGGTATGCTATGCATAAAATTAATACAAACAATACCCTATAGATTTCATTCTGCTTAGCTATGTTGAGGGAAACTTCAGGAAAGTTATTCAGTAGAAATTCAGGGATATAACTTTTTAGAGGTTAAGCCGTGAGACAGCTGCTCCTAGGCGACCATTTCGTCCTAGCTTTCTGTCCCAACCAAAGGACTCTATGGGGGGTTGCAATGCAACACCTTTCCTCTGGAGTGGAAGCAAACCCGCCCAATCCCTTAGGGAGTGTTGACTGCAAATGCTTTAAACGCAGTGTTTTCGGTCTACCGGACATCCCCCAGGCCAGGAAACCTGACGGGGCGGGGGGGGGGGGGGGGGGGCGTCATTAAGAGCTCGACAGCCCACCGACATCATTTCCCAATTTAACGTATTTAGTGGTTTATCTTTTACTTGTGTTATAGACCAAAGTAAACACGCACTTCAGGCTTTCCTGTGAATAGGGCAGCGGCCACTGCCACTCCAGGATGGGTATCATTTGTCACTCATGGAGGCACAAATAAAACTGTGCTAATCTTTAAAGATCTTTATCAATGTAAGACATAACAGATATATAGACATTTGGGTAGTGTTGTTTGCAGCTGTATTTGCAACAACAAAAAATTTGTGTGTAAGTATAGAATTACATCAAGGAAAGTTGTTTTTTTTTTGTGGGAAGCTTCCGTGAGGACCATTATAAAACATCTTGGCTGATGATAATATTTAAAAAAATATGATTTCAGAAAGACTGCTATTGCTATTGACACCATAATCAACCAGAAAAGATTCAATGATGCTGGGGAAGCCAAGGCAAAACTTTATTGCATCTATGTTGCCATTGGACAAAAACGATCAACAGTTGCACAACTTGTGAAGAGGCTGACTGATACTGGTAATTTCAATAAAAGTTAACTTATGCCTGGCTAAATGCATCATTCATGGTTTTCCATGGATGCGTCCAAATATGTCCCTGCGCAGGGTGACTCCACAACCCCCCCTCCCCTTTTTAAAAAGACCTTAAAAGGTTAGATGTTTTTCCTTTTGCTAGCTCTGAGCGGGCAACTTTTTTTTTCCGCTTTTTAGTAAGATTTGGGTTTACGTTTGGGAAAAAATCAAATCTTATGTGTTAGTATACAAATTTTTGTGAAATATAAAAAATTAAGGAAAATGAATGCAGATTTTATTTAACTGGTCGTCTTTTTCTATATTTTGAGGGCCCACAATCAGTGTATTGATCATTCTGGCTACTATATTTCAGGGTGGTTCGCAATGTAACTGCATGCTTTTGAAGGGGATTCTTCACTGGCTGCAAGGGCTACTCAGCAATTGTGTTCTGAACTGGGGATTGGAAGACGGGGAAATAGATGCAAATGTGTCAAGTGTAGTTGCAAATGTGTCAAGTGTAGTCGCCTCAAGTGTTGCTTTGAGAAGCTTGTTTCAGTCCCTTATTGTCTTTGGCGGGAATGAGGAGCTCCTTTACTGAGTTCTTGTTTTTATGATCCGGAATTGTCTGTCATGGCCTCGTTCCTGTCTATGGGGGAGAGGGACAAGGTTCTGTTTAATGCTGGAACAGTGGACCAGCCCATTTTTTATTTTGTATATCATGGAGAGCCTGGATAATCGTCGTTATTCTTCCATTTTTTAACACTTGAGGTGTTTCTGTAGCGGTTCAGGACAAAGCGTGCTGTACGTAGCTGGACCGCCTCCATCTTGTCGATGCTCTTTTGGGTGAATGGGTCCCAGACTGAAGATGCATACTCAAAAAGCGGCCGGCAAAGGCTTTATGGGGTTTTTATTTCGTGCTTGAGTTGCAGATCTTCTGATTTCACCTTAAGAATCCTAGGGTCTTGTTTGCCCAGGTTCACACATTGTTAATGTGCTCGTCCCAGCCGACCTCACTTTGAATGGTAACACCGGGGTACCTTATGCAGGCCTGTTTACTCTTACGATTTTGGCGTACAATGTACGATTTTTAGATGACTTTCACGATTGTACGCCGCAACCCGCCAAAACTACGATTTTCAGAGACCCGGTGAAAAAATATGTTTAATTTTTTTCTAATTCAAAAATACATATATATATATATAAATTTTCAGGTCCGGAAGTTTCAGCCTTTTCTAAAAAAAAGATCAGAAAAAAATTGGTTGTAATTTTTTTTAAAGTTAGGACCATCCTTCATTATATTATGGACACACTGATGGGGGAGTTGCCATACGAGGCGCATGGGTAGGGGGATTGGTGGGAGTGTCAAAGGCTGTAAAAAATTCATATCTTGATGGTGATGATTGTCATATTGTTGCTGGCATCTGTGTGTCACAGTGAACTAGCTAGCTGTGTCAACAGTAATATTTAGACTAGTCGTCCTAGCTACAGCTTCACCCACCATCCCCTTGGACTGCTACCAAGCGTGTGTTCGTCTGAACTGTGGCCATTGTGAAAACAAAGAACGGTAGAGATGTAAGGTCTAATCAGCGGCATTTAAAAAAAAATATTTTTAGACCTCTCTAAGCAGCTCTATCCCCTCAACGGTTTGGTATCAATACTCTTACCACCCCCACCCATACATATTTTTTTTTAGTTTGCAGTAATTAGTCTATAGAATGTTAACAGAAAAAATCAGGCGCACATTGCATAGGCGACAGCACAATATTTTTTCTATTAATGAGGGTGGGGGAAGGTTGGGTCGTCACCAGCACGGAAAGACGTATTAGTGGACTACAGTGTGTTGTCACTGTGTCGTTTTAAATATTACTACTGCAGCGACAAAGCATTAGTATACCATAACTGCGAAACATTGTGATATTTTTATAGCCTTAAAATTAATAAAATTAATGGGCTTCATAAGGATTCATGGATTTCACAGATTTTCAGGAAACAGTTGGCTATATAAGAGACTGTTAGGCTAGTTATTTTAGAATTAATTTATAAATGTAGATGCATTCTAGTGGCATCATGTTGTCTAGAAGTATTTTCACAAATGAAGTCGCTAGCTATACTCAGTAGTAGTAGTAGAGAAATTACAGTAATGTTAAGGCCACCTAATGTGACATATATTTCTTTGGGCTAGGCCAGTCGTTCTAATATTTTTGGTCTCCCGGCGCCTATGGCACATAAGGTTTTCACCAGGCACTTTGTGTGAAATTCTTACAAGTACGCTTCGAAATAGCAATTACAAAAGTAAAAAAAAGGGTTGGATAAAAATAAATATAATGTGTATTTAGGTCACTGAGCGCCATCTGTAATTGCTTACAGTAGTTACTCAAGTGGCTGTTGCACCACGACCCAAAGCTATCACATTGGATTAAAAGGGAAATAAATTTATGAAAATTTTGTAATATTTTGCAACGCCTCTATGATGGAACCGCAGCAACCCATATAGAAAAATATGCCCCTCCCTTAGAGGACCAGTAAAGAGACAATTTATTGCGCCCTTGTCTTTGTGAAGTAAATTAGATTTTATAGTTAAATTTACTGTTAAGTTCCTTTCTAAAGACAATTTTGGCGCCTGTTGCTCTTCATCACTTTCTCATGGCCCTGCCTGTGGACAACAAGCAGCGGCGTATATTCTGTAATTAAAAATAGATAAAATGTGGGGTGTCTGAAAGCTACTCTAGCAAGAGCCCAGTCAAGCAAAAACACCATGGGTGGATGGGACTCGTTAACCTTGGATGGCAACTCATCTAAGAGAAGGAAAATATTGATATCTATAGCAGATGCACGTCGGCAAAACAAAGTGATCGCATTTTGCAGTCAACGTCAGTCATCTACTGTTCAGTTCCATTTTTACACCAGCTTAACTTGATTTCACTGAAAATGCTAAAGGAGTAGTTAGTGTATACATTACATTTACTGTATTTTTATTTATTTACTATTACAATACTGTATTGTACTATTTTGAGACGATATTGTACGATTTTAAGAGTTGAGGGTAAACAGGTCTGCTTATGGAGTAAATTGGCTCAAGAATATGGTCATGCAATTCATAAGGGTGGTGTAGAGGGGATCTGCTTCTAGTGACTGAGTCTGGCACTTAACTGGATGAAATTCTATGTCCCAGCTCATCTCCCCACTCAGCTAACCGATGGAGGTCCTGTTGTAGCTGGTCCTGGTCAGAACTGTATGTGATTGTCCTATACACCGCCCTGTTGTCTGCGTCTTCTCTGGCAGGTCATTGAACAAATGGGGCCTAGCACCGAGCCCTGGGGCACTCCTGATTCAACACCAACAAAGGAGGAAGTTGTGCTGTCTACCACCACTGCCTGGCATTTGTCGCTGAGGAAGCTAGAGATCCTTGTTTTGATAGTGCCTTGAGTCCCATAACTCTGCAGTTTGTGTTATAGCAAACTATGATTGACAAGGTCACGGTTGCCAGTAATCCACACATTAACACAAATATTTGCAAATTACAACATATTGTTTGTGATTGTCAGTCATCCATTTACTATTTACAAGCACTGCCACGAAATCGAAGTGTGTACACTTAAACACTGCTTAGGCTGATATCACTAATATATAGTACAATTCATACTCGTTTTCGTCCACTTCAATGTCACTTAAATCGAATCCAGCAAAATCTTTGCTTGAAGAATCGCCGAAATCCATTTTGAAAAACAAAACATTCAAACCCTGAAAACTAAAAAGAATCTGATCAAATACCGATACTTGTAACTGGCGGCCACACTATCATGCTATCAGCGAAACCAAATGTAAACAATGGGAAGTCACGGAGATCCCATGTTTGCAACTCCCATGGATGCTTTCGGACGTTTTGCCCTTTAAGTAGTAGAGGTTTTTTGCTGCTGGCATCTTTCGTTTTATTTATCTCTTCACTTTAAATCTAAGTTTGTTTTAGTAATGTGTGCGTATATCTTGCCTATCCAAGGTGGCAAAAGTCTATTTGTTTTGGTCATTTCTTATTTGTTTGTCATAAATAAGCTGTGTTAATAAGCTCTTGAATTGAATATGCCAGACCAGTTTACTCTCACAATTTTTGGGGTACATTGTATGATTTTTGAGATGTCTTTTAGTATTAAAATTAAACGCTAAGACCTGTTAAAACTATGATTTGAAGAGACCTGTTTAAAAATATATACATTCCGGTAGTTTTTACAAATTTAAAATACAGGTAATATAAAATTAAAATTTTGGTGGTTAGTTTTAGCTCCTTTCTACATCCAGAGGGGATATGGATAGAGAATATGCTTGGTTGGGGAGCATCTATAATTGTAAAACTAAATCGCAAAAAAACAGCTTTAAAAATATTTTAAAGCGCACAAATCGGCTCTATGACATTTAACAGCCCTGTTTGCTCCAACACTCTTCTTCCTTTAACCCATTACAGCTTGTGATAGTTATCAGACTGTAATATGTTAACAGGAGATAAGGCTAAAGAGTTTAGATTATTCTTTTTTTTTATTCTTTTTTTTTATTCTTTTTTTTTTCTGGAATAAATCTCAAGTTTCTTGGCAGGTTTTGTTAATGACTTCCTCTCAATTGTTAATTCATATTTCAATAAATTTTATTTTATACTTCTTTGAGTTTGAACAGCATTAAATTTCACGAGTGTCTGCACTTTCACACAAATATATTAATTGATGTCTGTAGCAGACACACTTCTGCAAAACAATGTGACAGCGGATATAATATGCATGTCAAAGTGTTGTAAACTTAAAAACTACTAAATCATACTTCAAATGGTAACTAATTTTCCGTAATGTTTTTTACGTAATATTTTTTTTTCCTCTTGATGACATCATAGTTGCTTATTATTGGGATTCTTTACTTTTTAGATGCCATGAAATACACCATTGTGGTTTCTGCTACTGCTTCTGATGCTGCTCCTTTACAATACCTGGCTCCATACTCGGGATGTGCTATGGGAGAATTTTTCCGTGACAATGGCATGCATGCTCTTATCATTTATGACGATTTGTCTAAACAGGTAATTATAATTATAATTATATTGAACCATTTCTGTCATTTTTAAATCAAAATTTGTTAAATTCATCAATTAAAAAAGTGGAGTTTCTAAGAAATAGTTAAAAGCTGGAAATATGCCATTTCTGATTTAAAAAAAATCAAACACTTATCTATTAACTTAAAATAAAGATGTTTCGGCGTATGAAATGATTCTTTTTATATTTTGAAAGGGTTCACTTGTAACTATTATAGGTTGTTTATCGCTCTGTTAATTTTTGTTTGCAGGCTGTTGCATATCGCCAAATGTCTCTTCTGCTTCGTAGACCACCAGGTCGTGAGGCATACCCTGGTGATGTGTTTTACCTTCACTCTCGTCTTTTGGAGAGAGCTGCTAAAATGAATGACACTCATGGAGGTGGATCTCTTACAGCACTCCCTGTCATTGAGACACAGGCTGGAGACGTATCAGCTTATATCCCCACAAATGTCATCTCAATTACTGATGGACAGATCTTTTTGGAAACAGAGTTGTTCTTCAAAGGAATCCGACCTGCCATTAATGTTGGTTTATCTGTTAGCCGTGTAGGATCTGCTGCTCAGACAAGGTCCATGAAACAGGCAAGTCTTGCTAATAATTAGCTATATGAACAGTATGAACTGCTGAATATAGCTGCGGACCCTTAAGATATGCTGCGTGTTAAACTCATTCCCTCCTGCAATGCAACTTCCGTATTTAATTTATTTGCCCCGATAAAGGGAAGTAACTCCGTCTTGCAATTGATTTACATTTGTAAAATATTTATTTAAGCTGCTAAATATTATTTAATGTTAACGAATTAAGAACAAATGCATCAAAGAATGAATAAGGTTTAATATAAATATAACATTAACGGGGGAAAAATAACTAACAATGGCCAAAAAATCGATTTTCGGCACCTCGGACGAACACATGCTACATATAGACGTGCCGTACCGGTACTAAAGCACCCGTAGTTTTAAAGTGAAACCAAGATAAAAACTTCCGGCTTTTAAATTAAAATCACGCTGAACCACGCCATCACTGGAAGTCTCGAGGGATGCGAGATTTCATTGCTATTTTTAAATATATCTGAGAGAGGTGTGTCGTTATGCGCCGGGACGCATTTGGACGCATCCGGCGAAACCCGTAAAGGACGCATTTAGTCGCAAACGTCGGGAATGAGTTAATTTCTAATTTATCATACAGTAAATATTTTTGAGTTTCAGTAGTACTTGGCATAAAGTTAAAGTGACTTCTTCATTTCTTGCATGTTTTTTTATTGTTTTAGGTGGCAGGCTCAATGAAACTTGAGTTGGCTCAGTATCGTGAGGTAGCAGCTTTTGCTCAGTTTGGCTCTGATTTGGACCAGGCTACTCAGAACCTGTTAAGAAGGGGTGTTAGGCTTACTGAAATCTTGAAACAAGGACAGTATGGTAAGTAGCTAAAGGTTTTAAAGTTTTTTTGTTTTTGGTGAACACTTGAGGGAATATTATTTTTCAGTTTTAAGCTTGTAATTTCAGAGAGCGGTTGTGTTTTTTCCTAGAAAAGGTGGTGTAGCATTTATTTTATTGCACCTATACAAATCAAGTTAGATTGAATCCTCTTTTTTTTTTAAAGGTTTATATAAATTATCTGACAATAGCCTAGTATGAGACATTTAAATTAAGGTAACCTGTGGTTGCAAGCTTGAAAGGTTATGTGGTATCAGCTGTAACTAATGTAGTTAACTCTATGAATGTATGAACCCAGTCTTATTTAAGCAAAGGGGCGTAACTCTGTTCAGAAATGGTCATGTTATTTTCATTAAAACAATGAACATAAAATTTAAAACATGAATTGTCAATGGTTTTAATTGAAAATTTCTATAAAGTGTAGTGAAATTCAAAAGAAAAAATTGTGGTTAGAAGTTCACCTTATATTAAATTATCAGAAGTACATACCGGGTATTAACAAATTAACTTTGCTTGCCTGCAGTATTACCTATTGAATGAAAAATTTGACATTGAATGAAAAATTTGATATTTATAAAGTCTATTGCCATCTTCATCTAAAAGATTATCATTACTGTCTACATTTAATTCTCAATTTACTTCTACATCTCTGTTTGGTTGTTTGATCATCTAACCTGCTGGTTTAGTAAAGTTCACATGAATTGGGAAAGATATGCTATACTTTGAACTCCTATAACTTTTTTGTTTGATAGAAAACATACTGGTACACATTTTGTACAAAAAGATGAGTTTCTCACAATATAGTAGTAGACAGGGGAGTGTAGGGGAATTACTTTTAATGAGCTTTACTTAAATGGCATTAGTGGGTTATAAGTGCATTTTCTTTTTAACAATGTTTTTTTTTATATCTAACCATTTAGTTCCAATGGCCATTGAGGAACAAGTCTGTGTCATTTATGCTGGTGTTCGTGGTCATTTGGATAAGTTGGATCCCTCCAAGATTACTCAATTTGAGGCTGAATTCCTGAAGCATCTGCGTGGCTCACAGCAAGAGCTCCTCAAGACCATTGCAAAGGAGGGAAAGATCAATGAACAGGCTGAGGCTCAACTTAAGCAAACAGTTACCTCCTTTTTAGTTGGATTCCAAGGCTCTTAGACATTTTTATGAATATGAAAGACCAATTAAAGAACAGTTCCTTTTAGATTGTGATAAGAGTGTATGGTTTCTTATACTTGTTCCAGTTGTTGGAATATCTTTTCTCAAATCTGTATTCATTGTATGCTAAATTGCTTCAGACATATAGAGCATTTTGAGGCTATCTGCAAGATCAGCATGCATGTTTTATTTAAAAAAAACAAAACAAATGACAATTAGGTCAGGGTTAATTATAGTTTTAATTTAGAATTTGACTTACTTTGTAGCTCGTTATTCTTAATTATGAGAAAACGGGCAATACAGTGCGAATGGAAAAGTATGTATTAATAAATTTGTGTATTTAACATACTTGTGGTGTTTGTTTTTTCTTAACAATATTATACTGCCTAGACTAGATGATGTATCAAAATAAGATTTTTCTACATTTAATTGACATCTTTTTGTCTTCATAGAATGCCTTCTGCACATACTTTCTTTGATAAATGAATTTTAAAACAGTTTGCTGAAGGCTTCTTGCTGGCATGTTCTTTTTGTCCTTTTTAGAAATGAAAAAGACTCTCCACAATTCTTTTTTTCTTTCTATTTCTAGCCTAATAGTCCAAATATTTTCAAAGACTGATAATTGAAAGCTTTTTATTTTTATCTACTAATACTACTAATTTCATAACTCAATCAAAAAGACATGGTAATTGAATTCAAGGTTAATCTGCATAAACTTAAGAACCATATAATTAACTATATATTGAATCCATAATTAATTCACTTAGGGTTGTTTATGAAATAATTATCTACTCTAACTTTTGTATATATTTTTCCAGTAAGAAACTTAATTGTATAGACATGGGCAGTATGTTGGCCTAATTATTTTTTACAAATTTTAGTGAATTCCATAATGCAGTAAATAAACGCCTTTTAATCCAAGAACGGTTTACATGATTGGGGCTTCTAGTACCTCTTAGTAAGTTGTAGATTAGTAGTCCAAAGAAATTAAAATTTCCATTTAACCATTTGGAATGTCTGGTTTGAAAAAAGTTGGCTTAGTTACCCACACATTGCAGCTGCAATGTTTGTGTACAAAGCATCTCCAGCCTTGTTGCAAATCAGTGGTTCTCAACCTTTCTAATACCGCGACCCTTTACTACAATTTGCCATTTTGTGGCGACCCCCAACCACATAATTATTTTTGTTGCTACCTCATAACTGTAGAGTATATGTTCTCTGTGATGGTCTTAGGCGACCCCTGGGAAAGGGTCATTCGACCCACAAAGGGGTCGCGACCCACAGGTTGAGAACTGCTGGTGTAAATGAAAGATAAATAGTGATAAAGGAGGTTTTCCTTCCTATCTTGTCTGGTTTTTTGGGGCAGGTTCAATTGGACTTAGTAGGTCAGGTCTGAATGCAGAAATAGCATAGGGTTGTCTAGTGTTCTAGTCTTTATACTGATTACCATGAAAGGGCTATTTTTTCATAATTGAATTTAAAGTAATAAAAAAAATATAAATGTGGTAGTGTCTGCCACAACTTAAACATCTTTATTATATCTAGAATTTAACTTGAATATCTCTAGTCAATTAAATAAGGCAATCGGCAGTCTTGGACTAATGGGGGGGGGGGGGGGGGGGGGGGGGGGGGGGGGGGGGGGGGGGGGGGGTGTTTGAGTGTTTCCCCCAAACCCATTTATTAATATATAAAAAATCTTTAAAAGCAGAGAATAAGTTTTCAGGGTTTTCACTTTTATTCAGGTTTGAGTCTCCAGGATTATCAATTTTAATAAAACTTCCCTGTCAGGGTGCCCAAAATACATGGCTTCATCTGGCATGTCGCAGGTGTCTTCTGATGATAGGTTTGTACTAAAAAAATGTTATCGACTTTTTTTAAAATGAACACAATATATAAAAACTGCAAAGACAATTACAATTTCTGATTTATTTATTTTCTCCATGGTTAAAAAACAATATAATACAACAATAATGTCCTTCATTAAGCTTTGTACCTAACAGTGTAGTCAAGTGGATCAAAATTTCAAATGTCAGTTGATTTGAGAGACTGTATAACTATTATTCAAAAATTAGCAACAAATATTGTTCCTTTCTTCATGCTGATGAAATTGATTCGGTTTACACAATGCTGGGTTCTACATCAGAAAGTTTTCTTACGATGCTTATTGTTTTTACTAGACCCCAAAAAGGTATTCTAAAATATGAGCTTAATTTTAAGTTCACTGCTTGATGTAGTAACATACTGGCACATCCTCATCCTAAATAGTTTGTTTAGTATTGATGGGAATCATTTTCTTTTCACTGCCTCGAATTAAAGTCACCGTTAGGAAATCTGACTTTTCCACAGCATCATAGACATCAGCAGCTGATTTAATAGCCGATCCATTTATATCAATGATTATGTCTCCTGCTAGGATTCCACCACTGTTAAATTAAAACCAACATTCAATTTTTAGAATAATTAAAAATTAAATGGATAAATTGATTGATTAAGAAATAAATTGAGGGAATATTTTGGACATTTCAACTCACTTAGCTCTATATATAATATAAAATTGCAAGGTTAGTTCATCAGATTCCTTTATTTGATATTTTAAGAAAACATTGCTTCTAACATTGGATGACCTATTATTTTCTATTAGTAAAGCAATAATCAATCACAATGCATAAACAGTAGCCCTAAACTTGTATCTACACTTAAGTTTTACGATAACTAAAACACACACATACCCACACAATAAAAAAAAAATGAAATTCCTTTCTTTCTTAAGGGTATGCTATATTAAGACCTTGTAAAAAAAAAAAATTTTTTTTAAAAAGCCCAAATCTAAATATTTAACTTTAAGACCCTTAGGGTTTGTCTAAGACTAAGAGGATCAGTTTTGAATTTTAACTGTTTATGCACAAATAATTATTTCAGTATGATGCAGATGGATGTGTTAGTAGTGTTAATAAAATAATTATTTAATGATAATACATATAATAATAAACATACATATTTGCTGGTGATCCTGGAATGACTTTGTAGACAAACACACCTCCATCAACATCAGGAAAATTCGGCAGTTTGATGTTATTTTTTAAATCACGCATAACGTTTTCCGTAAGTGTCAACATTGTTATTCCCATGTAACGTCTTTTCAGGAAACCATTTTCTCTTCGTCCTGGCAATAATTCAAAAGTAAAATTGAAATTATTTATGTTAAATTATTTATTTTATAACTTAAAAAAAACTAATTAATATTAATCAATATTGTTGCTGGCTGTTTCCAAATTAATCAAAATCAAAAGTAATTTTATGGTAAAAATAAAAATAACTATTTAAAACATGACATTCTTTTTTATCATATTAGATTGGGTGGCCTGGCAAGTTTAAGTTGGTTTATGCTATTCTGTGGATTAATAAAATAAAATTGGATCACAAGGCAACAAACAAAACAGCGACTAGTGAAGAGCAAAATGCAACACATCTACCAGACAAAGTTAATTACTTTCTGTACGTGTGTGTCTCTTAAACTAAAGAGATGATTTGAGGATTTGTTAGAAAAATGTTATTTAAAATAAGTACTGACACTGATAGTTTAATGGTTTCTTTTTCTATTCACTAATACTAATAGTTAAATAAAATGTGGAACAGCTGTAAAGCAAACATAAATTATTTGCCTCTTACCATTTTTCATTAGTTCTTCAGCTTTAGTCAGGAACTTAATAGCATAATCAGAAGGTATAGCAAAAGATATGCCAGTGGTTACCTTCATAGTGTTGATTCCAATAGCTTGGCCATCCTACCATACAAATGAAACAATTAAATACTAGACCTATTTCTACTTGATTCTTAATTATCTATTTTCAAGTTGGTCCAACTTTCAAAAAATTTCACAAACTTGACTAAATAGATCATTCAAATACAAGTAACAAAACTAGATTTGATACAAACGTTTTAAAAAAACATACCAAGTTCACCAGAGGACCACCTGAGTTTCCAAACTGGAAATAAAGGTATTCAAAACATTAATTTAGTCCTTTTAAATTTTTAAAAAATTGATGCATTTGTACTAAAATTAGTCATGCATATTTCGTGAATATTCACTTAATTCTGATTGACTATTGGTTCTTTGCACACTTTTCAGGCACTTCAACTGTCTTCTTTTAGTTTATTTTACTTTTACTGAATCAGAATGGTGCTATTCTTTTCTTTCTTTTTGCAAATCAGTTATTTGTTCTAGAAATCAATTTTTTTTTACATGCCTTCCAAACTGTACAGAACATTGACATATTTTACTGACAAAGTAACTCATTACACCTTGATACCATAAGTTTGATAAGAACACTTGATTCCCTTGTAGCAGTTACTTATCGCCCACTAAGAAAGCGCAAAAAAAAACCTATAGATATATATTATGTAGCATAACTGACATACTCGCAACACAGTCACTGTCCGAGATACAATCACACATGCACCAACCTCTGCAACAAGATTTTGAATGTTAACAAGAAAGTTAAATTTTAAATGAACAATAAATTATTTTTCAGAAAAAAAACGTTTTTATTTATTTAATAAATGACAACAAATGAAACAAAAATAAATTTATCATACGATTATGTTAGCCACAACAGGAAACAGGAATAAACAAATAATCCAAAATATCGAACAAGTCCTAAATTTAAAAAAAACAATACTAATGACTATATTTTCTCCCAGACATTAGATTTGTTAATTCAACCAGCTTTATTTATAAACTTAATTTTCATTCAAACGACATTTCATGATGAACAGACTGAGATTTTTCAAGATTTGAGAGATATTTCAGGGCTTGTGGCCTTGGGGTACCATTGGTTAAACTGTATATCTGTGTGCATTGATTCTATTGAAATTTTAGTTGGCGAAGCTTGAACTACATGCTAATGCACTATAAACAGTTACCCATTATTATAATTGAATTTTTAACAATGATGCCATCTGACTTATACAAAATAATTGGTAAATAGTTGGTAATCTATAGCAGAATACAAGACTGCCGGGACATCACAGACCATGATTTCATCTTAACCAGCAGTCACCAATTTTTGGAAATGACCTTTTCCCCTGAAAAAAATATTCCCCTCCACAACCAGAACTTCACCTGACATGACCAATCCACCGTGTGTTACGCTTAGATAGGCAAAGTTAGTATTAGTAGTATTAGTGAGTACCTTTTATTAAAAATACATTACGCATCCAGGTGCCATGTTTAGTGTTAAGTGAAAATCTTTTTTTTAATAAATTACATCATTATAGTATAAGTTTATGCCTATTATTTTTTAAATTGCACGTAGTATAGTATGTCCATTATTTTTACATTTTCTTTTTAATAAATTGTCATTAAATATCTCAAAATCATTATCATATGCATGAATAAGAGATATAAAATTAGGATAATATATTAATGTTCAATATTTCGAATAATATTCTATTAGTTAGTAAAATCATGAACATATAATTTCCAAGAATATATTACCCAGATTGGATATAACTTTAATGTACTTCACATTAGGCTTACATTGATGACAGCATCAGTTTGTATATAATCCATATCTTTATTACGAAGTCCCAATTCTCTGCTTGCTCGTTGTACACTGCTTACAATTCCACAGGTCACAGTGTTACTCAGAGATAAGGGACTTCCCATGGCTATTACCCATTCCCCAGGACGAATTGTTGATGATGTACCCAAAGGTATAATAGGTAAATTTGTCTGAAATAAAAATTTAAAAAAACCTGGTTATTAATGCTAATATGGCATCTTAGCACAAAATGGCTTGCTATATTAAGTTTTAAATCTTGCAGCATGGATGCATTTAAGTATCACATGACAATAGGTGCAATTAGCTGATGTTAATAACCTTGCCCAAAACTTTATTACAGGTTTTTCTTCGAGCTGAAAGTGAAAGGTTACATAGTTTTTATGTGAAATAAGTTGAGGTAGAATTGTGATGAGTTATGCTGGATTAATTTAATTTCAAATTATTTGATTGACAATTGGTATAATAGAACTAAATAAGAACATGATGACAGTTTTAATTGGTTTTGAAATAATTTCTTAAAATTTTTTAACAAAAAATTATATGACCAAAATAAATGAATTTAAAAAATAAAAAAAATAGTAAAATGTCATATTTTACCGCTGCAATTTTCACAGTTGCCAGGTCTGAAATTGGATCCACAGCTGTTACTTGACCTTCCATTACCCGACCATCTTGCAGTTTTACACTTACAGTAGATTTATTTGCAACAACATGTGCATTGGTTAGTATGATTCCATTGCTTCGAACTATAAAGCCAGACCCATTAGACAATGTCACTGGACGACCAGTTATAGGATGCCTGTAATAAATATCATTGTAAAAGAATGTTCCTGTTTTAAAAAAAAAAAAAAAACTTTTAGAAAAGAGAGAAAGCTTTTTTTCAAAATTCATGGATGATTCCCTATATACCAGACCCATTAGAAAATGTCAATGGACGAACAGTTATAGGATGCCTGTAATAAATATCATTGTAAAAGAATGTTCCTGTTTTAAAAAAAAAAAAAAAACTTTTAGAAAAGAGAGAAAGCTTTTTTTCAAAATTCATGGATGATTCCCTATATTTAAAAAAATAACATCGGAATAAACATTGAAGTTATCTTATCTGCCCCACCTCCCATTTGTCTATGCTTTTGTCAGATCAAAATTAGTTTTTATCAAGATTAACATACAAAGAAATAAACTTAAAAAACAATCAGCTGAAATAATTTTGGTAAAAAATAGATTAACCAAAAGCCTTATATCTCATCCCTTGCTTAAATCTAATAAAACAGCATTGGCCAATAAATATATACATTTGATGTAAAGAATGAATAACAGGCATGACCTAATGAAGCAATTTTAGACATCCTAGAAACTTCAATCTAAACAAAAAAGCAGATTTCCCCTGGATCCCTAGAAAGGAGTGGGTGGGGTTAAGTGGAGAGGTTTAAAAAAATGTTGCCGACCTCTGGCATAGGGGAAACTGTGACTGCCTCGCTCCTGGCTTTATTACTGGTACATGTATTTCTAATAAAAAATACTTGGTTACTATCATGAAAAAAGCAACCACATAAAAACATATCTTTAAATTTGTGTATTTGAGACCAATTAATTTGCCGAACAAGCCTAATATTAATTAATTAATTGGTGCAAACCTACATTCAAATTCAAAAGTAGACCTATTATTAAATATTAATGTGAACACTCTTTCTAACATTTTGGTACAAATACAATAGTCATGAATGATCTGCATTTTTTCCATCCATCCATCCCTGTGGCAATACAGCCCATGTAGGGCTTTGGCTTGTCTCACCACTTCCTTCCACTCAGGTGTATCTAATGCTTCTCTTTTCCATGCTTGGTTTCCCAGCTGCTGAAGATCTTTTTCCACATCATCCATCCATCTAAGCCTAGATATGCCTTTGAGTCGTTTTCCTCCGGGTTTTGGTGGTGAACCATCCTCACTCCTCTGTCATTTGGCATTCTTTCTAAGTGTCCTGCCCAGCATAGACTACCCTTTTTTTTTAAAATTTCTGCTACTAGTGTGGGATCCTGATATATACTATACTATAAAATTCTTGGTTTGTTCATATTCTCCATCTATCATCATTTGTTGGTCCATATTTTTCTGGAGAACTTTTCTTTCCCATGTGTTTAATAGATTTTCAGCTGTTCATGTTTTCATTATGTTAGGATCCAAGTTTCCCTTGTGTATGTTACCATTGGCCTGATTACAGTTTATAAATAGTTTCTTTTTTCCTTTATTTTCCTTTGAATGTTTTCACAATTGAGCATTTTCTGATTACGTGTAAATGCCACGTGTTTTTTTAATATTGCTTTGGGGCTAGTTTTAGGATTTGGGTTAGGTTTAAGATTTAGGGTTCAGGTTAGGTTCAGGGTTCGATTTATGGAATCAGGTTAGGGTCAACACCCAGGTTAGGTTTAGGGATAGATTAAAGGTTGGATTTACTGCTGACTGCTGATTTTAGTTCATATAAATTAATTCCTACCTTCCTTTGATTTCCAAGAACACAACTGCAGGCCCTGCTTTTTCAACAACATCTGCAATAAAATTGTTTTTGTTTTTACTGTCTGCGTAAACTGGCTTGCCTAGAAGATGAGTCACTCCATGTTCTTTTGAGTAAAAGTAGGCTGCTAATGTTAAGCCTAAGCAGGTACCAGCGATGGCACCAGTTCCTCTAAAACTTTTTGATGAGTTTCCGGCATTTGCATCAGATTCAGATCCATTGTTTGAATCTGCAGTTCTATGAAAACAACTTTTCAATATTTTATTGATGGATAACTGACGCGGCTGGAGTGTATCAGTCATAAACCAGCTCGGTGAGCAGTGCTGGGGGCTTTGATGCCCTTCAAAAACAATACCATCTCCTTTTGAGTCCTTTTTATTTTTGTTAATTAAGCTTAACGACGGGATTGTGTTTCTTTCCACGTTTTCGATCTGAAAACCACTGCCTTTAAATCGTATGCAACAACTTTCTAAAGGCCTGGATATCGATCGCTTTAAAAAAAACATGATTCCATTGACAAGATCGAAGTTCTGCAGTCGATGACTCGAAAAATGATCCTAACGGACAAGCAGGCTAAAGGAAATGGAGGAATCGAAACGTAAACATATTGCCCTCCATGATGACTGATGAACCTATTGAAAGCTACAATACAATATTTATAAGAATCAGTTTCGAATTATATCCAAAGTAATTTTGCTTTTTTGGTCCTTCAAAATTTTTAAGGCAAAGAAAATAGAAAATATAATTAAGGGTATTTTTAATAGCCATATAATTATTATATTGCATTAAGTTAATAAGATAATTCATTTGAGCATGGTATACAAAAAAAAAAACAACAAAAAAACTCCGTTTTTCTCCACCTGTGACATAAGTGGTTGATGTCGTCATAACAAAATTTAAATGTCATAGAGCTGTTTACCCTAACAACAAGAGTTGATGTTCCTTTTATCATTTTCTAATTTTTATTTATTATTATGCTTACACGCGTAGAGCCCGTAGTACTAATGTCTTAAACACAGGGCAGTCTTAACAGCATCGTGGGCCCAGGGAAAAGTTATGCACTGAGGCCTCCTATAATCTCCAACCCAGTGTTTCCCAATCCTTTTTATGCCATACCCCACCTACACCTTTAAGCCTTTCTAAAATTTAGTACAATTCTTATGCCCCCTCCCCCATGTGATATATAGGGCCCAATGTTCCCTTTAAGCTGCGCGGCTGCGTGGCCGCGCAGCAACTCACAGACGCCGCGCAGCTAATTTCCACTAAGTGTGTGTAGGCTGAAAATTTTGCACACAAACAAATTGATGCTTTAAAAATTTGCACACAACTTTATGATTTTGCACACGAACCAACAAACCTTAGAGGGAACATTTTTTGTGGGTCGAAAAATTTTGCACGCAAAAAAATTGATGCTGTAAAACTTTGCACACAACTGTATGATTCTGTGCAGGAACCAACAAACTTTAGAGGGAACATTGATATGGCATACATAGTTTTTAAGATTCAAAAAATAAATTTTTCACTGAATGAAAGGTAAATGATAGGTATTAGGAAGAAGCAATTTTAAACGAAACACATTAAGTAAATTTTCAAAACATATAATGAAGAACTTAAATTAAAATGCAAAATGAAAGATTTTTCAAAAATATTTTAATTATTTATTATTTCATTTATTATTCATTATTCAATAATTTTAAAATACAACGAGAGATCACAAATACAGTCTCCAACCTGCTCTTTGTATCTGAGATTCTTGAGAGAGTTGTGTCACAGCAGCTTGTGCAGCATCTAAAGACTTATGACTTGCTTGATAAGTTTCAATCTGCATATCGACCTGAGCACAGCTGTGAGACAGCACTGCTCCTTGTCATGAATGATGTTCTTTGTAGTGCTGACCGTGGCGATCTGACAATATTGGTCCTGTTGTATCTCAGTGCTACTTTTGGTGTGATTGACCATGAGCTTCTTCTATCAAGACTTCTGAATGAGGCAGGCATCTCTGGAACTGCACTTCGCTGGTTTACTTCTGATCTAACTGACAGGACTCAGCGTTTTGTAGTGAAGTAGGCATCTTCCATGGACAATTCCGTTACCTGCGGTGTGCCGCAGGGCTCAGTTTTAGGACCTATTCTGTTCTCCATGTACACTAGCCAGCTCGGCAAAGTTATTGAAAGTCATGGTATTTCCCGAAAAATATTTGCAGAAAAAGATCTATACAAGTGTTTCCGCCCTGATCCCTTGGAGTGTGCTGCTGCTGTTCAGGCTGTTGAGGAATGTTGTCTTTCTGTGAAAGAATGGATGTCATCAAACAGACTAAAATTAAATGACAATAAGACTGAGGCAATTATTTTTGGTTCAGACGCCAATCTTCGGAAAGTTGCCATCGCATCAATAAAAGTTGGTGAATCAGAGATCCCGTTGTCCTCCACTGTCAGAGACATTGGCTTATATATTGACAGTAAACTTAGAATGATTACCCTTATCAGTTCTGTGGTCATGGCATGCTTCTGTCATCTGCGCGCTCTTGGTCAGCTGCGTTCTCAACTCAATAAGAGAACAGCCAATGATGTCGCGGTAACTCTAATCCAGTCAAGATTAGATAACTGTAACAGTTGTTTGTGGGGTTTACCTCAGAACCAAATTCAGAGACTCCAGAAGGTACAAAATACTGCAGCACGCATTGTATCGCGAATAAGGAAATCTGACCACATCACCCCAGCTCTACGAGATCTCCATTGGGTTCCTGTGGGTGAGTGCATTAACTAACCCTAGCGTACAGCTGCATAGAAGGCTCTGCACATGAATATCTTAAAGAACTGATTTATAAACATGTACGGCATCCTTAAAGAACTGATTAATAACCACGTATCCTTAAAGAACCTGCGGTCTTCAACACAGTACTTACTGAGAGTTCCCAGTGTGGATGGACATAGAAAAAAGTCTTACGGGGTGCGCTCTTTTGAAGGGATAGCGCCAAAATTATGGAACAGTTTGCCTCAATCTTTGATAGGAATTGAAAATGATAAAAAATTATTTAAGAAACATTTTAAAACATTTTTGTTTAAATAGATTTATGAAAACCAGAGCGCAGTGAGCATGCTAAAGTAGCGTGGATACCAGCGCTATATATATATCCAATCAATCAATCACAAATACAATGGGAGATCAAAAATACAATGAGAAATCACAAAGTGTGACATGATTTATTTAATGGAGAAACTTACGCTTGATACTTGCTGCACAGAGTGTTTACGTTAGGCTCCTATTTATAGCTTCAGTCTCAAGGCTCCCCGCTGTTTCATATCCAGCTGACTTCTTTTTTAGTAACAAATATTTTGTGGCATTAAACCCACATTCAGCTAAATATGAAGATGGAAATGGTAACCATTGCTGTATTGCACATTTGGTCGAATTTGGATATTTGATTTCTATTTCTTCACAACGTCATGCCATCCCTCCTTTTATATTAAATAAAGTTTAACAAACTCATAATTTTGCATTTCGTTTCTGCGAGTTCTTCTTGATATTGCTTATTTGAAATATCAGACTAAGCCACCAACATTGGCTGAATATTCCAAGTTGAAAAATTGATTTGATTTAAATTAAAAAAAAAAAAACAACTTTCTTCTAAATCAGCTCACAAATTTGTTAAATGATTGAAAATAACAACTATAGCTGTATCAGTCACTTAACTTTTCTGGGCCAATGAAACTTTTCAAATTTTTTTTTACAAATATATTCGACATAATTCAATAAATGTAATGAAACCAAATATTTTCGCCTAAGCACCGACAAGAGTTTTATCTGCTCCGTGACGTTGGTTATTTATGTATTATTTAGTAGACTGGCCATGTGTGGGGCGTGTGGGTTGGTCTGACTTACTGTTGTTTGATTTACACCCTGCTCGCAGCGCCAAAACACTGTAGCCGAGTGGTTGGGTGGTGCTGGCAGTTTTAATTATGTTTATCTTGAGAAAATCAGATCTTGAGGATTATACTAATTATAGCTTTATTTGGTTCTATAAACAAAGCTAAAGGAAAAGTATCAAAATCCCAAGAAGAATCTAAAGAAAACGGGAAACTCTAAAGCAGGGGTGTCAAACTCAATCACTTAGCAGGCGAATATTCAAAGCACACGTAAGATTGCGGGCCCAACAGTATAAACATTCAATAAGCGGCAAATTAAACTTTAAAAAAAAAAAATTGATATAAATTAAATCAGAAAAAAAGTTCTTATAATAGCAAAAATCACTGACAACCCATTTTCGCTTTTATGCCAATTTTTCAGAGATTGATGTTTGGCATCTTTTCTTGGCTACATTCAGGGCCGGCCCTAACAATTGCGGGGCCCTATGCGAAACGGATTGCGCGGGACCCAGTCTAGGTAGGGATAAGGATAATAAGTGAAAATTAAGATTTTGTATTAGAAAAAATGTGCGGGGCCCACTGCGGCCGCATAGGTTGCAGTGGCCTAAGGCCGGCCCTGGCTACACTGCAAGTTCGTTTATGTTGGGAGTGATGTTATGTGTCACTGAGATTCTCATGGTGGACTGCAAGTGTTCATCAGTGAGACAACTCCTGTATGATGTTTTGTTAATCTTCATCACAGAAAATAGCTGCTCACACAGATATGTGCTACCGAAAATTCCCAAGGTTCAAGCCCCATGTAGACGAAGCTGGGGCAAGATCTCTTCAGGAATGAAACGAGTGAACTGTGCAGGTCTCACGGTGTCGTACTTTGCCTTTAATGTCCCATTACACTGCAGCTCTTTTAGATCCAGCTGCAAATATTCAGGTGCAAATTCCACATCTATGACAAATGGGTTACGAAACAGCTCGAAATTACTTTTCTGTAAGTCATGCGAACTCGGTGCGAAGTAAGCTAAGTTTTTCAGTGAAGTGTGCATTGCGAAACACCATAGCGTTGAATTGGTTCAAAATTGCTTGGCAAGAAGAAAAGTGTGACAAGATGCATTGGGGCATTTGTTTCTCCCATTAAAATCCCATCACTGCATCATGCATTTCAGTTATCAATGGGTCCCGTCCTTGGAGCTGCAGGTTCAAGTAGTTGAGATGATTGGTAATGTCAGACAGAAAATCCAACTCACATTTCCACTTTTTGTCCCGAAAAACCGTGGAGTCTTTTCCTTTGCTGTCCATGAATTGAGATATTTCATTGATCAGCTGGAAAAATCTACTAAGAACTTTTCGCCGACTCAGCCACCACTCTAAGGCATGTCGCCGAACTCTGAGTCTATTTCTTGCGCGCGCGCGCACGCACGCACGCACCACCCACCCACACCCACACCCACACACACACACGCACGCACGCACGCAAGCACGCACGCACGCACGCACGCACACACACACACAAAGTCTGAATTTGATGGTGATTCAAACCTTTGGCTCTGATTAAGTTAACGGTTTGTGTTACAGTGCTCATTACACCTTACATACCGAGGACTTAACCTTACAGCGATCCTTGGAGTATGATGCATGATATGCTATTGTTATGTAGTACACTTAACCCCGTGCGTGAACTTTGTTTCACCCCACATTAGATTCCTAGCAGACGGCAGCGTTTGTTGTGGGCGTGGCTTAGTCTTTGACGTATCGTGTTTACTACCGATTTCCAATTTAACATGGTTAGTATGTCTACTAGTATCTTATGGAACGTTCTCGATTGTATTAGAAAAGTAAGGGCGTTTCTAGACGCGTCGGTAGACCCACATATGTAAGGGATTGACAGGCACAGAGAGAGACGGAGATTCAGATAGATATTTTAACTTCACGAGACGTGTATTATTCTTTGTGTGCTCATATGTGTTTATTCGCATTCTTCATTCATCATTATTAATTGGCACATTGTACTTATTGTGTACCGGTACAAGATTTTCCCATACTCTTGAAGCTGATGATTTGTAATTATATTTCTTTTGTTTTGTAATTGTATTATTACTAAATTAAATCTTACTAATTGTAATTGGCAACGGTTTATGCGTGTCGTAACTTTATTATTGCATTTCTATATGGTATCGTCCTTTGTTGTGCACTGTGTGAACGAGCCATAACTTAAAACAAGAGATTAATTTCTCACAATAGATGCCAGTGCGTAACCCTATCAATTCACCAGGACAGTTCTCCTGCATCTTTAACCTCATCCTCCCAACTAGTCCACTTTTTTTTCACCGCACATCGCCGGTGCTCCATCTGTTGTAAGTCCAACAAGTTTGTCCCAAGTCAGGTTCATGTTGATTAAACTTTGGCATACGTTGTCAAAAATGTCTTTTCCTGTCGTTGTCCCATGCGTGGATTTCATGTCCAATATTTCTTCTGTAACATTCAAACTTGAGTCCACTCCACGGATGAAGATAGCGAGCTGTGCAGTGTCAGTCGTAACACTACTTTCATCGACAGCAAGTGAGAATGCAACAAAGTCTTTGCCTTTTTCGATCAGCTGTGTTTTCACATCAGTGGGCATCTCACAAACCCGATTAGAACCCGTATATATTCAAACATCTGCTTTTTGCCTGATCACAAGACGTCAGACACTTTCATCATTGCAGCGCTTTGGAAATTCCCCTTCTGTAAATGGTCCGCCTGATTTTGTGATCTCCTCCGCAACAATAAAACTTGCTCTCACAGCAGCTTCAGTTTGGGATTTTGCTTTGGTGAAAAATGTCTGCTGTGGTATTAGATTTCTCTTAAATTATTTTAACTCTGTAGCTTCTGCTCTGCATTCAGGCTTTTTAACTTGTCTTGATGTTTAGGCTTGTAGTGCCATACCAGATTATATTCCTTGATCACAGCCTCATTATCTCTATAAATTAGACACGTAGGTTTACCGCCAATATCAGTAAACATATATTCAGCCTCCCAGCGACTTTAAACGGCTCTGTTTTCAGAATTATATTTTCTCTGGCCATTTTAAGGCTAGCTACCGACAGACGCTTGGTTATCACATTAGCCGTAGCAGGAAAAGGTGATGTAATATCAGGGCACCACACTGCGCCAATCCAAAACGTGCAACTAAACTTTGATAGGTTACTGTAACGACGAGCATCCACTCTACACACATTTTATTTTCGCTTATTCTGATCGAAGCGAGAAAGCTCTCAGTTAGCCTATCGTTCGGCAAGGCTGCCAGGGTTTCTTTCAGCTATATCTCGGGGGGGG